TAACTACCCAAGATAAACAGGGTTCGCTTTTGCTCCATGGAAACTCTGTTTACCGATTAAATGATCTTTCTAATGCTTAGAAATCTGTGCCAGAGGATCAGACCATAAGCAGCTTTAGAAAATGCTGCAAACAGAATGAACGCCATAGTTAAAAGCATTTTGGTGTGAACATGGTAGATTTTTCTGTTGGTGATAATTTTCCCTGAAACCAAACTCATTAGTTTTGCGCATTACATCTGTGGGCCCTTACAGGGTAATATTGATTCTGAGCTGACGGTCACGCTTCTAAAATGAAAAAAGGAAGCCTGTATTTGTTCGAATGTCGGTCTTCATTGCACTTTTATGATGAAGCCATTCCTGACACCCTTTCTTTCATGACGTTAAGGGGGGAGATCTCCAATTCCACGCCGTCAGTCAGGAGTGCCTTATTTTAAAGACAGAATCTCCAGCAATATGGCAAGCACAGTGCGTACTCTCCTATTCCTTTCTGACAGCATGGTACTCATTTATCGATCTTGGAAAGAAGAGAAACGAGCGACCCAACTGAGATCTGAACACGGGATCTAAGCTTTGAGTCAAACGTCTGAGCAACCCCTGTCAGCGATAGAAAGTCATAATCGGTGTCGCTCGCTGAGGTATGCTCTGACACCCCAGCCCACGCAACAGAAAGGACAGTTTCCACGTACTCGTTATCAAGAAGTTTCCATGCCATGTTTTCAGTGACTAACAGCTGTTTGAAAAACGGTGCAAATTTAAGCGTTTGGCATGACGCTTAATCATTTAAAAGTACCCATACCGTTCCGTCAACCGTGCAGTTGACAATATTCACTATCGGCTGCAGAACGGCCACCCATTGACCTACAGTCACGCCAAAATGTTCGCTGAAGTTGTAGACGGTGACCGCCACGCAAATGTCCGCAGGACTGTATGCCAGACAGAAGGTGCTGTAAAATTTACAACGGATAAATGCACATTCAGAGGTATTAACTCGCTTCTTACTACGGAATCACACTGCTGTTCGGGATGACGCCGATCACAACGCCGAAAGTGATTGTGTTCTTGTTGCAGCCTTCAGCTAACTCTCTGAAGGAGCGCAAAAGAATTTCTGGCCTCCCACTGTCTCCTGGCTTCCCGATGCTTTGTTCCAGAGCCGTCACCTTCTTCTCAACGTCGTGAACCAACTCGCACATCGCCTTTAGTTTTCTTACCGACATTTTTCCCTACAACGAGTCTGCCTTAAGATGTCATATCGTAAGCACTGAAACAGCGGAATAACAGCAGCGATTCATACTAAACATGGAACTATGACATATATTAAACAACAGATGAAGTAATGGAGCTTTTATAAAACATATAAAGGTAGAAATATCAATTTAGTCTTTAAAAATAAGCATAGCCATAAGTTATTATCAAACTGACAGAACGGATTAACCAATGCCTCGTTATACGGTATCTCTGCATATCACAAATGGCTACTGAAAGCATATTGTTCCG